AGCTTAGGACTATGTTCACCAGAATGGATGCCTGGGTAACAAGTGACTGTCTCCTAACAACTATGCACCAGTCCCGAGGTATGTAGCTTGTAAATGTTAGATATTATAGTAAATAACATTATAATGCTTTCCTGAGACAGAGTAGTATAGTTTTCATGACACCCGGGTGTATACAATAAATTTAACAGAACAGTTTATATGGTAAAACCTATTTTTTGGAGGCTGGAGATATGCCTTAGAGGCTAAGAGCATTGACTGTTCTTCCAGAGAACCTGGCTTCTATTCCTAGTGCCCATATGGCAGTTCACAACCATCTGTAACTCTAATTTCAGGGGAGCTGATACCACTGAGAGTACCAGGCATGCACATGGTACTCATATACACACGCAGGTAAAACACCCATGCACATAAAATAAATATAAATGTCTTCTTAAAGTTTTTTTTCTTTCCCAGCTACCCTAGAAGTCTGTATCAGTTTCCCTGAGACTGCACGTTGACAGGATCCACATTCTCATAGGCACAAGCAAGGTCTAGAAAATCCCCATTAGACAGCAGTGAACTCTACAGCTTTGTTTGCTTGGCACTGCTATGTTTTATAATGACCAATTTGCAAACAGTGGAGCAAGAAATAATAATAGTTGTCCTTTACTGAGTGTGCAGTACAAGCTAGACACTGAGTTAGGTCCTTTATACACATACAGCATCTCCTCATGGCTCAGAGATGCAAGACTGTGATTATAGTCCTGGGCGAAGGGACTGAGACTTTTTGCTGAATGGTAAGGCCAGCATCTGAATGCGAGCCACAGAGTGAAGCAATGCGCTCATTTTCTCACAGGGTCATTTCTGTTTTGCCAGCGCTCCACAGAAAAGGGGTTGTGACCCGCTTATCCTGAGCTGCTTCAAAGTGGAGAAAATGTTGCCCCTTGGCTGCTGACTCCCCTAAAGCTCCGTCCTCCGCGTCCCATCTCTGGCCCCGCCTTCCGCCCCCCACTCCACCCCCATCCCCACCCCCACCCTGTTCCTCTGTCCGCACCATTCTTGGCGATGATGTCTCCATGTGTGAATTCCATTAAGGGCCCGTTCACTGCTATTTCGGGCTGTGCATTAGCACGAGGACTTTGAATCGATGGGGAGAAAGCCAGACACCTCAGAGTGATGAAAAACAAATTTCAATATCCTTCCCCTCACCATTGTCTTAGAAGCCCTTGTCCATGGCTCCCAGGAGGCCAGAGAATCCAATGAATGGAGAGGCACAAGGAAGTGGGACAGGGATGCTAAAATCTTCGTAATCTACAGGACCTCTGAACTTGACTGTTCTCCTCCTTGAAACTGTCTCTCACGGCTCACTCTTTTTAGGTCTCTGCTCGGATTTCCCATCGTCATTCCTGACTACTTACTGTTCATCAACACCGGCCCCCTCCCACCCCACCCCCACCCCGCTCTTCCTGAGCCCACAGTGTTTTGCTTCCTGTATACAATTCTCATTATTTGATACACTGTACACTAACCGTTCACTCCCTGTTTCCCTTCTGATTCTAACAAGAGCTCCAGGCTGGCAGAACTCTTCCCCCCACAGTTCGACTGGCCAGACCGACACTGGTGCGCAGGCATCACAGGTGAAAACAGACAGGGAGAGCGGAGGGATCCACCAAGAGCAGAAAGGAACTTTTAGGAAATTTCTGAGCACAGGACCTAGATTCCTTAATACCACCAGAAGGAAGAAATGCTAACACGGTAACTTGAAAACTCAGAAATATCCCTTCTCCTCACCCCAGAGCTGTTTTGAATTCGGGCTTGCTGGCCTGTGAATGAGAGGACGTGGGGAAAATAAACATGCCAGGAAGTTGTGTGCAGTTGGAGTGAATTCAGTTCAGTAACACGTGTGCAAAAACAAAAAGCCCAATTTGGATGAAAATAGCAGGAAGTCCTTCCCCAGAGACACCTGGTGAGATCATGCTGTTTGGCTGTGCTGCTTCCATTCTGGTCAAGTCACCAGCCTTCTGTGTGCTCAAGGAGGCCAAGAACCCTATCTCCACAGGCCTCCCTGGGAGTTGGCAGCAGCCATGAGCAGAAAATAGGTGGCACCTATGAAAAACCCCTAGCAGTAAGTATATTAAAGATCACAACAGGGCCTGCTCAGTGAAATCCCGTCTTCCTGCATTCAATCCTAGAATCCATGTTAAAAAAAAAAAATCCAGATATGGCAACAGGTAGTTTTCATTTTAAGGATGAGGAAGAGGAGACAGACAGATTCCTGAGGTTCCTTAGCTAGCCAGAGGAGCCAAATGGCGACAGCTGAGGCTATCCCCTGACTTCTGAGCAGACTTCTATTTGAACCTGTTCTGTCTTTGTCTGTGTCTGTGTCTGTCTGTCTGTCTCTGTCTGTCTGCCTCTCTCTCTCTCACACACACACATACACACACACACACACACAAATTAAAAGACAACTCCATGTGCTCACATTCTATGCTTTATCCACTCCGCCCATCCCTCACAACCACTCCATGAGACGGCCATCACTACTCTCCTTTCAGATTTCGTCAGCTTGCCCTAGGTCACATGCTACAACTCCATGTCCAAGCCAAAAAATACAACTGATTTCCACTCGCCCTCTTCATTCACTTGCTGGGTGACTTTAGGCAAGTGCCTCTCCCTTTCTGTGATGAAATTTCTGTACTTGTACAGGAGACTACAGCATTCAGCAGTCTCTAGAACAATGGTTCTCAACCTTCCTAATGCTGCGGACCCTTTAATACAGTCCCTCATGTTGTGGTGATTCCTCACCCCACCCCCCAACCATAAGATGATTTTCATTACTACTTCCTAACTGTAATTTTGCTACTGTTTATGAATCCTAATGTAACTTTTTTGGAGACAGAGGTTTGCCAAAGAAAGAGGTCATAACCCACAGATTGGGAACTGATGCTCTAAGTAAGTAATCCTCCTAGTCTAACTTCTTGTGATTTTCTGCACAAGTTCCAATGCAGAAGGAAAGGACAAGGGTCCCTGCTTAGCTAACCCTGCTGAGGCTCTACCCTGAAGGTATCACCAATTCAACGGACTGTGAGAAGATCAAGGGTAAAGAGGACAGACACAGATGGCAGTCAGGAGCTTCGACAGAGCCAGTAAGGCACCAAGCTGATCCCTAAGAGAGGCCAAGCACAAGCTAGCCCTCCCTGGGCCTTGCAGGAGCACAGCATCACAGTCAAAGCAATGCCCTGAGCAAGGAGGCTCTTCCCACTCTGGGGAGCCAGCCAGGCAGCTCTATCCCAGGGAGTAGAAGGAAAGAAACATTTCAGCAAACCAGTAAAAGGCTGGTTTTGCTCTAGGGGAGGGGAGCCAACATGACAGTGATGTCTATTTTCTTGGGAGTGCTGAAAGCCAGTGTCCTAGAGGCACAGGGAAGAGAGAGGGACCGAGCCCTGTGTTAGGTAGCAATTTCCTCCATAATAAACCTCCTTCTCTTTTAAGACACAGGGTGCTTGCTCGGGAGAGTTAAAACATTCCATTCTGCTGGGAAGCTCATTAAACTCAGGAAGTAAACAATAAACAACCCAGGGCTTCAAGGAAGTTCCTGAAGATGACCAGAATCACTAGGCCCCTCCCTCAACAATATATAAGCAGTAAGGACTGCCTCCCTCCCTGAGGCTCAACCCAACCCAACCCAACCAGGCCCAGCCCAGCCCAGCCCAGCCCCCTGGACCAGGCTCAGACTACCAGAGTTGCCTGCAAGCCATGCAGTGAACCTCAGGCTTCCAACTTTGATACACTGTTACCCATGCTGGGTGGGCCTTGGTGAGGCTTCTATCTTTTGAGTCACTTCTGTGTCCATAGGTAACCTTTCATCCCTAGTACTGTAAGCAACCCCCCCCAAAAAAAATACTGGTTCGCAAATTTGGACTTTAGTGGCATCCTTACTTGGGTCTGTCACTGGCAAGCAGATGTTTGTCCACATCTCCCTGGAGTAGTGTCACAAAACACCCTGTCCCTCTCACTGCACTGGGACTCCACTGACCCTTCCCTGAAAGTGTCCAACGAGCCCAAATTTAGAATAAATCCTTCTTCTCCCATTCCACCAAAGCCAAGCATCCATTCCCACCGGTTTGGATGGGGAAGGCCTTGCTCTAGCCCCTTCTTGGCAGCGAGGCTTTCATTACTCATCAGCTTCCAGGGTGCTTTGGAGGCTGCCAAGAGCAGACGGGCAGCTCTCCAAACCAAGCATCCTTATCTACAACGTCAATGTCGAAGATAAAAAGTGGGACCATTGGTGGGGAAACTATAAAAGCCTTCGGAGTCCCTGGCCAAGTAGGAAGAGCTCTGGGAGGCCAGGTGGGCCGGGCTGACGACAGAATGGGCAGTCAATCAATGAACACAGCCAGGCAGGGTCATCTATTCAACCCTGCATCCATGAATCGAGACAGTTACGCCGGAAGGCAAATCAATGTGGAAATATTTCTGAACTAGGCCGCCGCCCAGCATGAATGAGGTTAGGGAAAAGCTGGACCCACGGAAGCCAGGAGGCTTCGAGTGATGATGCACTTCTCAGCAAAAATCTTGGGAAGATGAAGGAATTGGGGGTCAGAGGTGCCAAATCCCTGCCCAGCCTGCTGCTTCTCCCGGTCTCCCTCTAATCACCTTCATTTCCTGCCATACACTGAGCTGGAGCTAGGACAGCAGCTGCCTCCAGTCCCTTCCCGCCCTTACACACACACACACACACACACACACACACACACACTCGCCCCCAGTGAACTCCACGAAGCACCGGAAACACAGCTAAGGAAATCCAAGCAGGATGTGAAGTATCCCGCCAATCTCCCAGCAGACAAGAGACCAAGCTCTCTATCTTGGCAAGATGCCTCGCAAAGGACCAAGGATGTCGAGCTTAGGGGCCACGCCACTAAACTTCTTCCTTTCCAACTGGGACACCTGCGTCAGACTGGCACTGACCGTGAGTTCATTGTTTTGAGTCAGACAAAAGAAGGGAGAAACCCACTTACTCGTTCTTCTCCAGGTCCAGGATCAGCTCTCTCCCTTCAGCCATGACCCTGAGTTCTGCTGTGAGTGGATACTAAAAACAACAATAAAAGCATGTCAGTTCCTGGAAGCAGGGTCCTAGGCTCCCAGGGCCCCACAGGATCTGACACAGTGCCAGCACAGGGATCCTCTCCGGAAGCCAGTGAGGAAAGGTCATTAGCCTTTCCAGCCTAAGCTTGAAGTGACCTCAGCCAGAAAACAACCCAAATCATCCCCATCTGCTGTCTCCCAGTAGCAAAGGAGAGAAAGGCAAGCTGGGGTTCAAGGCTGAGCGGGTGTACGCAATCTCATGAAGGTCCTCAGAAGTCAATTCCCTAGAGAGTCAGACCCTGGATTAGTGTGCAGGATGTCACCTGTGATTGTGTAACCCTGGACTGTTACCAAGCCTGCCTGTATCTATCAACTTCCATGACGCAGGATGGTAATAACCAGTTTTCTTAAGATCCTTAAGGACCAGATGAACAAATAAGTGAATATAAATCATGTATCACAATTCGTAGTTCAAAGGAAGCTGTCACTCTTACACTGGCTATCATCTTAAAAAAAAAAGAGGATATAGTAATCAAAACATTTAAAACTGTAATTCGCAGTGCTGCAGAGCATACTTTAAAATGGTCGCCCTCAGATCCTCCGTCTGAAATTTTAACTGGAACCACCTGAAAAATTGACAACATGGACAGAATTTTTTTTTTAATCTTTTAAACTAGCTACAGCAATATAAGGTCATCTGATAGAAGCCAATGTCACTTACTACATCCATTTTTTTTTTCTGTGTATGAGTGTATTGTGCAAGAAATCAGGACCTCGGGCAAGCTCAATACAAACTGAGCCACACCCACAGCCATATCACATTCCTTTGCTTAACCCTGCTCCACTCATTTCCAATTGGGACCTTGCCTGCGGACTTGGAGACCACCAAGGACTCGGATGAGATATGGACATTCCAATCAAGTACTCTGTCCAATGTCCAGTTGATCCTGTTGCCTCATCTTAAGAGGGAACATTTGAGATTCAGGAAGCAGGAGACAGATGGGTACCCAGGCACTTTCACTAAGGGGCTCACTTCCCAAATTCTGAAGCACAGATTCAGCACATGGCCAGTGCCCTGAAGTGATTGCCTCCTACTTGTGGTTTTGCCCTGGGGACTTCTGGAGTGAAAGCCCTGCCCTGTCACATTGAGAATCAAGGAAGGACAGCCCCAGTGGGCATTTGAGCACATGACAACAGAAGTCCAGCAAATCCTTACCCAGGCCTGAGGCAGGCACCCATGTGACGGCCCACACACACAAAAGAATCTTGGCACAGAGCAAGTGATACCATGTGCCCCCCACAGAGACATTACCTGACACATGAGAACTAATATTTATTTTTGTGTAGGTAATCCAAAAATACTTGTGTTTCTGGAGAGTGCTCAGACACGGGGGTTTAAAATCAGATGTTCCCTGTTTCCAGGAAACGGTTGGAGCAAAACAACGAAACTGCATTTCACTGCTGTGCGAAGCTTCCCTATCTAGCTCCACTACAGATAGCTCTCCTCCTGGAACTCCCACATTGCCTGAGAAAGGCTCAACATCGTGCCTCCTGGTAAGCAATGGGAGGTGACTCCACTGTTCATACTCCCCTGAGAGAAGGACCCCAAATCCTTTCTGTTTTAGGGCAAAATTAAACAGCTCCACACCGCCTGACAAGCTTGCCCTGTGTACATGAAGCATCCTCAAAAATCTCTATTAGAGTTCATATACAGTCAGTGTCTAAGTGACTTCTAACAAATCAATGAATTACTCAAATGCAAATAAGAATCAGAGTGAACCAACTCTCTCTCTCTCTCTCTCTCTCTCTCTCTCTCTCTCTCTCCCTCTCTCTCTCTCTCTCTCTACAAATATTTATGGTGCCAGGCACTGGGCTGATGGTCCTTGTAGAATACAATGAGCCACATTCTGGGCAGACAATGGCTGGGAACAAAGACAGGATCTGGTCCCTCTACTTTGTTTCTCAGGCCCTTCCTGAGGATGCCCAGCATCCAACATCTGGAGGTAACAAAGGAGCCTCTATAAAAAGTATCACATCCATTCTTCGGCGATAATGGTGGTGGATGGAATACAGAAGACCTTACATTTAAAATAATAATAATAATCTGCCTGAGAACTGCCATCCATTAATTTGTCTAGCGTTTCCTTGAGGCTATTTTCAGCCTTTCCTACTTTAGGATGAAATGAGTTCCTGAATTTTTCTGCTTTGCTCTTAGGGTAAAATGTTCCCTACTTTTATTGTCCTGCAATTTCTCTGTAAGTTCCCTTACTAAGCCCAAGCTGTCGAACAGGGGGACATGTCTGTATGACTCTACAGTAACGTAAGGAATTCTGGGCGTTTCTCATCTGTTTATCTTTCCAGATTCCAAGGCCACAATTGTCTGAAGCCTTTCCTGACACTTCTTCCCCCCGGCTTTAATCTTGTTCCTATCTGTTGCTCAATAAACCACAGGCCATTTGGTGCCTTCTAAGAGATCATAGGAACAACTCCTTCAAAGTGGGCACAGTAGCGTATCCATGCAATCCTAGCACTAGGAAGGCAAAGCAGAAGAGTTCAAGTTAGAGGCCAGAGTAGGACAGATAACAAGATCCTGCTGAAAAAGAAAGTTAGCCCTTCTCCACATCTCTGTTCCTCTTTATTCCCACTGAATTTATAAATGAGGAAGCACAAGTAAAGTAGAAAGTCACAAAACATGTTACTGTCACGCAACTACCAGATTTCCCTCCCAAGAACAACCTGAATATGGGTCTGCTCGGTGGATCATGTTCCAATTGCCTTGGCAACACTTGTGCTTTTTGCTACTGTTCTGGACCAAGGAATCCATAAGATATCTTGAGATATATAACCTAATCCTAGCTCCCTATCTTGCCTCTTATTTTAAAAAAAACATTGGCTAGGTACCATGACACACAGTGTAATCTTTGTATTTTCAACGTGGAGGCAGATAGGCAACGATTTACATACAGGTCAGCCTAAGCTACCATGGAGACTGCCTCAAAAGAGAATTTGGGCACGGCACATGATGACACCCAGGGATATGCCTGTAGGCCTAGACCCAGGAGATGGAGACAGGAGTTCAGAGGACCTGCCTCAGAAAACAGTAAGACAGAAAAATAAACAAAAAAAAAATCCAATCAAGATCTATGACAAAATCACACATGTGTACTTGATCTGTGTATTTTTAAAGATTTATTTTGTGCCTCTGTGTGTGTGTCTGTGTGTGTGTACACACACATGGGTGTTTTGCCTGCATATATGTATGAATACCATATGCATGCCAGGTGCCTTCAGAGGCATCTCCTGGAACTGGAGGTACAGACGGTTGTGAACCATCATCTGGGTGCTTGGAACCTTTTCACCTCCAGTTCTATCAAGAACAAGTGGTCTTAACTGCTAAACCATCTCTCCAGCCCCAATTCGTGTCAGTATTACTGTGAATTTTCATTTCCTCAACTAAAAGGGCTTGGGAATGGGTCTACAAGTTCTCCATAGACTGAAGGAAAGTCCCAGCTAAGATATCCCGAGTTGACACAGCAAGAGGTTGGGCCATACACAGAAACAGAAGTGGTGGCGATGCTTGGGTGGCTTCCGTCCTCAAGAAGGGAACTATTGCTCCTGCTTTTCCAAGGAGGGGCTTAAGCATCTTACCTTTCCTCTCCCAGGGCTTTCTGAAGTCCGCCACTGAGGTATTATGAGTTCATGTTGTAGTGGAGGGCTACCTTCTTTGCTTCCATCTGCCAACACAAGACAACATAATCATAAGAATCCCGACCTCCACATCTCAGGCACCCAGGAGTGGGCATATTGTTTAGATGCCCAAGTAGTGGCCCAAATCACTTCAGAGGCAGCCATTGCTTCCGGGAGAGTGCTCCTCCCAGGGGTCTCAGAAGACCTGCTGGGTGCCACTGGGCCTTGGTGACAAAGTGATAAAGGCTAGGCAAACAAGGTCTGTGTCCCTGCCAAGAGTCAGGAAATAAGCAGACATTCTCAGGTGCTACTTAACTATCCCAGAAAAAAAAAAGAAAGATTGTGCCACAGGATAAAGGGAAGCTAGCAGGGGATGATGCTGAAGATCTGAGGAACCAGAGGAAGCCAGTTATGCAAAAATCTCGGGAAGAGCAAAGAGTGACAACTTTAGACATGGGCCTGGGCTCGCTAAGACACAGGCAGGAAGGAGAAATAGTCTACAAGGTCAGAGGACACTGGTGAATATGCCAAGCAAGGGTGGGTAGATATTCGGGCAAGTTGGAGGATGTTGGCAGGAAGTATTCTAAGTGAGATAGATGGCTGTGGCTGTACAACACAAAGGCATGAGGAGGGTCTGGATTTCAGTATGAATAGACCTGGAAGGTTCTGATGTCTGTAGAAAAAAAAAACCCACAAAAGCAGTATGAGCCGTACTGGTATTTGTTTTTGTTTTGAAAGGTGACTCTGCCTGCGGAGAGAATTGGGGAAGGGGACAGGGACAGAGAAGGAGGAAGCCTTGGCAGCAAGGCTGGAGGCGCAGGGAGCCCTTGTGAGAGGTGACAACTTGGACATCTTCACAGAAGGTAATGAAGTGATGAGGTGCTGAGGATAAGCAGAAGGTTTGTTACCCATGAGCTTCTGTTTGCCCTTTGGAGATGATGCTCGCCTCCCTGGGAGGTCTTTCAGGATCACAGGTAGGAGTAAAGGTGACACAGCCTCCCAACCGGCCAACCATTACCATAAACTTGAAAATCATTAACATTAACTTGACCTTCCTAGTGTTGAGTTTGAAGTTGTTATTTCGTTTCCTTGGCTCCAAACCTTCTCACCTCCAGTTCTATCAAGAACAAGTGCTCTTAACTGCTAAACCACCTCTCCAGCCCCAATTCGTGACAGTATTACTGTGAATTTTCATTTCCTCAACTAAAAGGGCTTGGGAATGGGTCTACAAGTTCTCCATAGAGTGAAGGAAAGTCCCCGCTAAGATATCCCGAGTTGACATAGCCAGACTGATGGAGGTTCCTGAGAAAAGAGGCCGAAGCCACGGAAGAGCCGTGCTCAAGAATAGGAGACCTCAACACTACTTACAGATCATCTTTTCAAAATTGAGAACTTCCTGGTCCCTAAGCAAATTAAGTCTCTGAAATAGGGTAAATCTGAAGACTTCCAGAGATGTCACCAAGGACCCCAATGTTGAGTTCCTTCTAACTCAGCCTCATCAATCAAATGAGGGATATAAAAGATGCCTGAGCTTTTGCGGCTCACGTCTGTAATCCCAGCAAGACAACTAGCGTTCTAAAGCCATCTTGGCTATATAGAGGATTCTGAGACAGAAGCCCCCTACACAGCATCTTGTCTCAGAGAATTAATTAAAAAGGTAGCTGGAGCTTGGCAGTGGTGGCACAGGTCTTTAATTCCAGTAATTGGGACACAGAGGCAGGCGGATCTCTGCATTTAAGGCCAGCCTGGTCTACAGACCTAGTTCCTGGACAGCCAGGGAACATAAAGAAACCCTGTCTCACGAAACAAAAACAAACAAACAAAAAACAGCATAGCCCTCCATAGAGACTGAAGGCTCTAGCCTCTTAAACAAAAGGAGGAGCTGTGTGGTGTATAAGAGAATGACTAAGGGTCTCAGGATCGTGGAAAGCACTGAGCGCAATCTCAAGTCTTAACAAACAGTCCAGCTTAAGAACACGACGGCCCTGGAGAAGGGTTGCTCACAACTTGGAAAATAAGGCCAGAAAGCACGTGGGATCACGCTTTTAGCATCAGACCTGGAGCACCGTTTAACAAAGGGATGGATGGCTGACTCGGCTAAGAGAATGTTATCTCTGGCTTTCTTGTTTGCTTTTGGTGGGAAGGTCAGTATTCGGTGAAGTTTAATATTAACTGCAGACCTGTGACAGACAAAGATTCAAGTGATTTCAGGATAGGAGAGCGATAACAATCTCGTGATTCTGTCTCACTCGAAGGACTTCATTACGCCAATCCCTCTATCACCAGGGGTCTGCTGATGCTTCTAACCAGCTTTAGCAGTGGCTTTTGCCACCTCATAAATGAAGAAAAAAAAATCTTTGCCACATTTGTTTAAGAGCCAGGAGTTTAACTTTGGGGAAATTATATTTCTGTGGTTTCTTGGTAGAACTTAGAGTCATTAAAAAAATCATAGTTTTGGAAAATGTCATGATTTGGGAAGCACCTTTTAAAGTGTGTATGTGTGTGGTATGTTTCCAGATTCATCAGGATATAGTCATCGAAAGACAGGAAAGGGGAAAGCAGAATATTAATAGCAACCGCTCATTTAGGGATCATGGGTCACTTGACAACTTTTCCCAGATCTGCAGCGACTCTGCCTCACTGACTGTTCTCAATGCCTCGGGATCCAGTGAAGTTTACTTTCCTTGCCTTTCTTCTGTGCCAGTGTTAGGCCGGAAAACCAGACTTGAACAGGCTCTGGCTCCCTCTTCCCCAAAGAACCCCATGCCCCAACAAAAGGAAGAACCTACTCCTTCCTAAGTGAAACCCTGAGTGACTCAGTTTCCCTTTTGATACAAGAGCGTTGAAAGAAAGCTTTATCTGCTGTGTGGAGCACCGGGTGGAGGAAACCCTAGGATCAGGTTCTTGCAGGGATGGGCCGAGAGGGGGGGCTGGGGAGGGGGTTGGGGTGGTGTGTGTGCTGCAGCCTGCCTAGCCCATAAACATCAGGGTGTCGTTAGCTTGATTTAAAAACGCTGACGGTTGGTACAGAAAGCACCCCTCTGGAGTCAGCCCAGCTCTCCAACTGCTGCAGAGCTAAGAAAGCTCTCATGGGTCAAAATGACAGAAGCCAGACATTGCCCCTCCGGGACCGTCCCTTCCGCGAAATCCTATGAGAACCTCTGAGGGATGCGGCCGGGGAGGGAGGGATGTCTGGGAAAACAGTTGTGAGAAATAGACATTATCCAGCGTCCAAACTGGAATCCAGTTTTCTTCACATATGGGGAAACTGAGGCCAAGAGGAGGTGGGCGTTGGGTGAGGTGGAAAGAAAGCTCCTGTTTCCAGTATCAGGAGATCTTCAATGTGGGGCGTACTTATACACATCTGGTTTTTCGTTAGTGAACTTCAGCTTATGATCTGCATAATGGGTGTGCATCGCTCTTTTATAGTCTTTCAGCAGGGTCGCTGCCAACGCAGAGATAACTAGTAAACCACCCTACCCTAGTCTCTTGGAAGCCTTTGATTTTCTACCCACTGGTATGCATTTGACCCCCAGCAAGATCCTGGGAATGGCCTCCTCGCCGATTCTGCATAGGATGCTTGGGGTGCTCCTCTGGGGATGCTCTGGGGTTGCTAGAACAGCGGGCGCAGAATAGCTTTGAGAGAGAGGCGGAGCGGAGATGAGCAACAGTGAGAAAACAGAAACGATCAGGATAGCAGGGGAAAAAGAAGCCCAAAGAGGGAAAACAGGAGGACATGAAGAAAGGAAAGCAAGGAGAAAAAGAGAGAGAGAGAGAGAGAGAGAGAGAGAGAGAGAGAGAGAGAGAGAGAGAGAGAGAGAGAGAGAGAGA